AAAAATGCAATATGGGTATCATTTTCGAGGTACTTGGGGGTGCTCATTACGAATATGGCACTCATTTCTAAATCCAAGATGGCGGGCACGATTTTTTCAAAAAAATGCAATATGGGTATCATTTTCGAGGTATTTGGGGATGCTCATTACGAATATGGCACTCATTTCTAAATCCAAGATGGCGGGCACGATTTTTCAAATAATGGCAAGTTGGGTATCGTTTTCGAGGTATTTGGGGGTGCTCATTACGAATATTGCTTTTATTTGAACTGTCGTGTTTGCCATCTTGGATTTAGAAATGAGTCCCATATTTGTATTGAACATTCCCAAACATCTCGAAAACGATATCCAACTTGCCATTATTCGAAAATTCGCGCCCGCCATCTTGGATTTAGAAATAAGTGCCATATTCGAAACCTAAAACCGAAAATGCCATAAGCAAACATTAAAGAAAATAACTGTTAAAATAGATTAAAAAATCGCTTAAGAATGCTCCCCTTTTAAGAAAATAAAATATTTTAATATAAAATATTTCGCTTGAGTTACGAAAAGAAAGACATATAATAAGCTATCAAAGTTGTACTGGTGGTGCCAACACTATAGTAGAAACAAATATATACTGTAAATTTGTTGCAATATGTGCTCCAATTCAAATAAAATTAATATAAATAATTATTCAATAAAGCATGAACGCAGAGCCGTTAAAAGTATTATAAAATAATTAAGTGTCCCAATCACTTACAGGAGTTAACGAAAACATTTAATGTTTATTCAAGTAAATATTAGTTCAAGATGCGCAAATAAATCGAAATTACAGGCACCACTAAAATTTACGTAATATAATTATTTTGATACAGAATAGCAAAATGGGGAGAAAAAAAATTCGTTACTTTGCAACACTTTCGTATCTTGTTGCCGCGAAATTATTTTTCTGTTTTAGTGAATATTTACATAAAAATATGAGTTGAAACGCATTACTTACTTGTGGAATGCGATGTTAGTGTCTATTTTGTTTGTCTGTTGTATTTTTACACCCATTTACCGCACATTTCGTCATTTTTAGCAAAAAATTTTGGAGCTGTTCGCGGTGCAATATGACCTTGAGCACTAACAGCCCGCGCGCTCCTGAGACGCGTTTGGAACCCTCTAACTTGCCTCACTTAGCGTGTGCGGGCTAGGTTTCTATGCGTTATTATTCTAAGTTTAATAATTTATTTAATCATTTTTATATATATAATATATATATATTTCTAAAATTTGGGAAAGCTAGGAGCTGTGGTTCTCGACATTCAAAAATAGTGCCGTCGGAACAAGCTTATTTCAGCGTGGATAGTAAAACGTCGTTATAACTTGAAAACGGCATAACGCTAAATCTAGTTTTTTATAACTAAGACCGGCCACATACAGTCCGAACTCCGTTTCGGAATTTTGAAGGCAGCAAATCCGTAAAAATCATGGACTTACACACTCATACCGTTTTGTATTCCGTCCGAATTTTTTTCCGATCCCAAATTCCATATGGTGGTTTGGCATTCGAAATAATAATTCCGAACGGAAAGAAGCCGTTCGAATGCAAGTCTTCCATATTTTTTTGTAGGGTGGTAACATACAGCAGTATACCGTTGCGTTGTAAAATTTATGCTCGAGCGCACTTAGATTTAAGAGCGCGATAGACATCGCATACTACGGTATGCGTATGTCCGTGATTTGTATGGATTTGCTGCCTTCAAAATTCCGATTGTATTTGGCCGGCTTAAATTACAAATACTTCAAGATATATCGTTGCTAAATCACGACTTTTTTTAAACGGCCCATTCACTACCTGCACAAATTATCCTGCATATGGCCCACATAAGGAATCTTGCAGGATGGCTTGCACGCTACGACTACATTCATAATCCTGCATTACGCGGCGGACTGTGCAATGCAAGTTAGTGAATGCCCTTTTAGTGACGCATTAAAAACGGGTCGCATTGCCGAATCGGCAGACTGCTTTGCCTTGCCGACGTCGACTCGCCGTCTATAACGAGTCGTCTGCCGCCTTGTAGTCGCCAGACTCGGTGTTAAAAAATGGTGAATTGACTGCGTGAAGTAGTCTGCCGATTCGGCAGACGACCCGGTGTAAATGAGCCCTAACAATGGCCTTGCTCGGTCGACCGTTGTCGCTTGCTGAAGGCGACCATGTCGCCCTAGCGTTTACATCACAGTCGCTTCAGTCGACTTCGGCTGTGAACCACGGTTGGTGTAAATATTGAGTCGTCTGACAACGCTGGTCGGACGGTCGCTTGACGACTTAGTGAAAATAAACCATAAGCTAGGTTTTCAAGACTCAAGAATGGAGTCGCTGGAATAATTTATTCCATTGTGGATAGTAAAACACCTGTATAGCTTTGAAATGAGGGACAGGCTAAATTTAGTTTTTTGCGACTAGAATTTATTATTGTTATAAATATCGTTACATGCCTGCACTCATAAAATATACTTCTTAGCATTTTGCTACGGTTACCGAATTTAATTTTATTAGTGATATACTCTCCCCAGCTACTGAAGTGGAGCTACATATTTTCGACATCTTTGCAATTAGAGATTGCACAGAGATTTGCGGCTGACAATTTTTGGAAGGCGTAACGTTTTAGCTAGGTAGTGTCACAAAATCTGCATTCCAATATTGTATCTCTACGATGTTGAACAAATTGATAATAAGGACAAGTGTCCGATTTGGGGCTGAATTTCAATAGATGTGGAGAGTTGAAACAGCTGCTAACGCGTCCAACGTTCACGACATGACGGACGACATGTTGGTTGATATCGCTTTCAATATTCGACTACGTAGCCTTAAATGTTTGCCAATGAATGGAACACTGGAAATTCTGTGACATTTCATTCTTAATTTCAAGTTCCTAAGTGGGTAATAAAATAAATAACTAAAAATAGGCATGGGTCAATATAAAATTCATGAAGTATAGGCACATGTTTTATTGCTTTTATTTACTTTTATGGAAAAATTGACTTGTTATACATAATTATAGTCTACTTAGAAAATTAAATCACAGCAGGGAGCAAAATATATAAAACACATTTTTGAACTAAAGCTACATATATTTTCAATAAAAACACTTTATACAAAGTGACAAAAAAACAAAAACACTGGCTAGCATCCACATAAATAATATAATTATATTTAATCATTAGTTATTGCAGCACAAGACCAATCTTATTTTGAGCCATGTTTGGACATCTCCAATTATACAAATAGTATTGTAAGTTTCCATCACCAATACCAAACTTCAATGGCTCCAGGAATTCTTTGTTGTCCATCAAATCTAAAGCATTGAACACATCAAACCCAGAGTTCTTTGCAGTAATCAAGCCATCAAGCATCAGCTCAGGCCATGGGGTTTTAGTTGAGACATTGTAGAATGAATAAGCCGCTTTCAAAGTCTTGTGTGTTGGGTGATACACAACAGTTGATGGAAGAGTGTAGTAGCTCACAAAGTCTGTGATGGACCCATCTGGAGCTTCTACCACATAGCTATCAATAATACCATTCTGTGGAGTAAACCAATGTTTAAAGTCTTCATCTGAAAAAATTGGAACCAAATCAAACTTCTGTAAATACTCATTCAAAAGTTTGACAACTTTTTCGAAATCTTGTGGCTCCATTTTACGAAATCCAGGAGTTTTAGGGAAGTCAGGCAGTTTAAATAACTTGAGAGTTCGTTGCATTGTCATGTTTCTTGATAAGTGGCTAAATTTTATGTCAATTAACTTCTTGGGATTGAGTGATCTATGCCAGTAACGGCAAGTTGCAATGGGCTTAGGTAAAACAATACCCGCTGTGTAAACACCCTGGAAAATACCAGTCAAATTGACCCTACGAGTTATTTCCCTGATAAGGACAGGAGCCACACGCTTAGCACGCAGCTTTTTGTGCACACACAAAAAGTTTATTTCTACAACTGTTTGCACATGATCATATATTCTCAAATCTGCAGGTATGGCAGATATAAACCCAACCAGCCTGCCAGATTTGACAACACGCACACCACAATGCCATTCCATCTTCCAGCCAGGAGGTTGAAGAGCCCACTTTAGGAACTCCGTTTGGTAATCAAAACGAAACATACAGTCATCATCCTCTACATAGTTTTCATTCAACAATGTGTAAAGTTCTTTCAATACCAGAGGTTCATTCAAATTCAATGTATCCCACTGAAAGCCATCAGGTAATGTGTAAGGTTCGGATCTTATTTCTTCGGGGGCTTTAGGAGGTTCAATAGGTTCGTTAGAAAGTATTTTCTCGTCCATTTTTGGTACAGGTTGAGTAGACCAAAATTGATATGACTTGTGCAAAGCTTCTTCGGTGGTTTTCGCAGGTTTTTGTTGTAAGTTTAGAACTTCCATAGCCATTTTCAAGTCTTTCAAAGATATATTTTGATGAACATCAGCGGAATTAGGCACTGAAACCATACCGTCGTTAGATCCCGAACTGCCGTAGTCGCCATCACCACCACTGCGCTTTTTCTTATTCTTATTTTTCTTCTTTGAGTGTTTTTCTTCATTGTCGTTTAAGTGTTCATTTGATTGGGATGCTTTATTATCCTCCATTTTTTATATTCCAAAGAATTACTACCACAAATTAGAAAGATATACAAAATAAAAAACCGCCCTAACCCACCTCAAAATCACAAACTCACGACACGGTAACTGCAAAAAAATGATTGAGATGGATTAATTGAATGAATGAATAAACATTTTTTTCTAATGAGTTGCCATTGTTACAACTTCCTACAAATGTATATATATTTTATTTGGATTTACAAACCATAGATTTAGGATTTTTTCGCTACGCTATTACAACAGTTATAAATTACCATAATATATAATTATTTGCCTACACTCAATGACATAAGATCGTTATACACACGCTCAAATTTTAATTAATGTCCATTTAGTTTTAAGCTAATTTTCTTGTAGCTTACACTCAATAAAAAACTAGAGGTAATAATATCTTGGAATAATAAAAATATGTGCTGGTTTTGTCACTAGCACTAGCTATATCACACGCTTTATTCTAGCACCCAGTAATCCTATAAATTACCACGTGTGTTGATAAGTTTAAAGACAATGATTTTAAAAAATAAAACAAAATAATACTGGCAGCTGTTTCATACTTGTTGTATTGGAAAAAATTGGAAACCATAAGTCATTCTTGTGTCCTGTCATCCATCCTCGAGTCGTGTCTAGTAATTTAAGTATTAAACTTATCTGCTTGAATAAACAGTCTTTATATAAAGTGAACAAGTATATATTCAATTCCGCTGCCGTCTTCCCCACCCATTTGTTCACCACAACCACAACAATTATTTTTTCAATTTTAAATATTTGTGTTCTATTTGTAAGTTTATAAATTCATTTCTATTAATTCTCTCGTGTAGCGAACAAAATAATTACATGCGTCTGTAATTCTAGTGAAAAAAACCGATTAAGATTTTCCGTGACATATTTTTTTATGATACCAAGTGATGGGAGTCGGGAAGTCGTGCGCTGGTAAGCGACACGCCTCTTCATAATAGTTGCAGTGCTACTCAGAGTTTTAAAACACAAAGATCCGAGGGCACTGCCACTGCGCCCGTCATCCTGAGACATAAGTTGATAAGTCTCATGTGCGTGTAATTTCATCAACACCCTTACCCTTCAAAACCGGAACGCTAACGCAGTAATGCTCACATTAATGTTACAAATGTTTTGGAGTAAGCAGCAACTTTTTACATTACAGTAAATATCGTTATAAGGAGACTAATTGTCTGAAAGTAGTGATCGCCAGCGGTCTGTAAGGTCGATATTATGTTAAGCAGAGAACGAGTTCGCCGAAACCCATGTTGCTTCCGAAGTAACTCGCTTTGCAGACTAGCATTTCGCGTGTTTTAGTCAACAGAATATGTACTGATATACATTTAGATTCCAGTTTTGCACTTATAATGGCATGCATGCATATATTTATTTGTATATGTGTATATATATGTATATACAAATAAGCGTGATTTTTTTTTTCTAAAACTCTTCTCTTCTTGTGATATAAAGAAACAAGATTTTAAATAACGTCTATAATAGATTATACATTTTTCTAAAATATGGACATTTTATCCATTTTTCCTAATATAAAAGTTTACAGGATTCTATTAGTGCAATGTTTTGTAATTACCAACGACACTCATTCATTATGTTCAAGTCATTACGCATTTCATTTACATTTTTGGCACATATCATTGTAAAACAGAATCCAAGTGTACCTATCTAGAGTCATATCGAATAAAATTTCGGATTATCGTGATATTATTGATGTAAATCAGCATTTTTCATTTCAGCAAGAGGTAGGTATGTATTCGCAGCAATAGAGCAAGATGTCAATTTTGTATGTCCAATCGTTGATTTCGGGAACTAAATTAAAACAATTGTAATAGCAACTTGTCCTGTCATTCACCCTATTGTGAGGCAGGCGCAGTGAATTGGAAAAAAAGGGCGTTTTTGAAGTCCTTTATTTGATAGAGATCGCGATCTAAAAGAAACCGTAGAAACGAAAAACTATGTTCTACATTGGAAAGTGGAAAGGTTTATGAGGATTTGTTCTAAATCTTTGTTCTACAAGTCCAAACACAAGCATAGTTTTCTTCTTAGATTATGTTGAGAGTTCTGTATTAGATGATGAATTGATGACTCGGTAACATTGATAAGTCTTATCTTCATTACGTGGATGTTACGATTTTCCATTCCTTTAACACGATACAAAGCATACACAAAGTAAGGGTGTAACTTGCGATCCATTCCCAATATTTTTAATCACTCCAGTATTTTTACTTTTCGTGATTAAATCGCAACGTAAAAAAATATTTTGTATTTGTTTATTTATTTGTATTTGTTTAGTGCAATGAACAATAAATAATAGTTTCTTGATTCTTTAAATCAAGGATCTTTGTTACCTTTTAAGCTGATGGCTTTTTAGCCAACGCTGAAGAAATAAATTAGCAATTTTACTTTTCCTTCATTCCGTAGAATTAATTCATTCGTTCGCTGTCATTTAATATCTACAATGCGAAATTTTTTGAGAAATTCTTAACATCTGGATTTGTGTTTGTATGAAGTTTGTTAAAATTGCGATACTGCTGTTAAATAGGTGAACAGGCATTACTTGTTATAAAAAACATTATTTCTTTGTTATATGTAAATATTTTTGAAGAGAAAGTCTACTAACATACATTTCAGAATTTCTCCCGCTTACACGTCACATTTTTGTTTCGGGACTTCTGAAGATATTATTTATTGAAGTGAAGCATTATCACAATGTGACATAGGGACTGCGGCAGCTCACATTTGTGCCCGGGTACCTCCGCATGTACTTGTTATTAGTTTGCTGAGAGCAGTTTCTTGAGGTAATCAATCACGTACCTAATTCGTGTTTATTTAACTGTATGTTCTGAAGTATAAGTGGCCAGAGAATGTCATGGGAGTAATTAGTTATTCCTCTTTGTATTGTTTTCATGACTGTATAAATAATATTTATTGAAACTAAATTCTTTTTCGTGACCGCGTGTTATTTTATTTTTAAAAAGCTATAAGGTAAAAAACTTTGCAGGGAGCCATGGTGGATAAAGAGCAAGTTATACAGGCTTTGCGAGCCACTCTCATTTCTGTAAAAGGAGCATTGACCATTAAACAATGTAACAGTAAGTTTATAACTCAATAAAATCTACTTTTGAGGTCATGGTTAAGGTCAGGCCTCACAGATGCAGTTGAGAGGGAAAACCGGTCCAAGACAGGACCTGCAGGAAGTGAATGCATACTGGATTGTGTCACTCAGGAGTCCCACACATAGTTTGCGACAAGATAGTGGCGCGCGAAAGCTGTCAGCATGACAATAAAAGCCACCATGTTTAATTCTCTACTCACATATGGTAGAAAATTAAATGGTGTGGTGAGTGTGTAGGCAAGATAAATACATATTTCTTTGCAATATTTATTTTATTAATTAGGATGTTTTTACTACCATGATATTAATTGTTGTTGTTATTATTGCTATAAAGATTAAAGAAACACAGAAAGAATTTCTTGGATCTGGCTGGACACAAACCAGCAACTTTTTTGTTTGCCACATGGGGCTATTAATTCTATTTTGCATTAGTAGCCCCGTGCCTTGGTTTGGCGAACAAGTCGCTGTTTGAGTCTCCAGCCAGATAGGAGAAAATTTTTCTTTGTATATGATCAATCATTGTATCAATAATAATACCATTTTTTTGCTAAAAATATTTGTGTAATGTTTCTTTTTTATAGCTTTAAATTGATTGAAATAGTATGGTATAAGTCTAGATCAATGTGTATAACACAAGAAATTAATTAATATTCCTGAAGTTGTTTATTTTTACTATCTACAAAATGTTTTACTGGCTTGAAAAATTTGCATAAAGTTTGATACTTTTTCATTTTATGTTACTACGAATTATTAAGCCTTTTTCTAAATTAAATCTATATAATTTCATGGGAAATTGGTAAACCACAACCATAGATATTAGTTTCTCAATAATTTTTAAAAAAATTTATAATACCTAAAATGCAATCAAGCTTTTTGTAAAGCACTTAATATTATATAATATTAATTGTCTTAAACTTTTATATTGGTGAGCACAGGAGATAAGTAGATAATTATATTTCTGTGTAGTGTATCTGTTATAAATGAGTTAGTGTACAAAGAATAATTACACAGTGTGTTCTGGAATAAACAATTTATTGTTCCTTTACTAAAAGGAACCTTTTGTAACACAGGAGATTACAAGGAACTTCAAGGAGAATGGATACCATTTAAAAAGTTAGGATATCCAACATTAGATAAACTTTTCCTAGATGTCCCTGGGTTTAAAGTGACACAGATCAATGGCGAGTGGTATGTTGACGCCATTGCTAGCCAGGAGACTCAGCATATTGCTGCCATGGTGGCTAAGCAGAAGTCTAGCAAAAAAAGCATTAAACTGCATCAACCTGTAAGTAAATTGTGTATTCTACTATGACTTACAATGATAATTCTTTTTTCTTTGGAAACCATTCATTTTTATTTATTTATTTTTGTTACCAAACAATAATATTTAGTAAATAATAATAATAAATAGAAGAAAAGAATAATAAAAAGACTTTTCGATTAATACCTCTTAGGGCGCGTTCCCACAGGATAGTCCTTCATACATAGAACAACACGATTAACAGCCGTTCACGACTTTTTTGACTTTACAACGACAGATCGTCGTGACAATGGGAAGAGCTAGAACGACAGTCCTACGACAAATAAAACGTCACGATAAAAATGTGACGACATTATATTCGCAGCTTCATTTCACGAAGCGACGTCGTATCATGGAAAGCTAGTCGTAGCTTAAGTTAAGAGCAACGTAAAAATTCACGACACGACATCGCAACGTGACGAAGTCGTGTCGTAGAAACTCACGGTGCGCTCCCCAGTGCCGCATTCATTTGTTATTCAATATTCAAATATGACAGGCGACATGTGGTTGATTATTTTATAACTGTACTATGGGACAAAACATCAGAAGAATACAATGTCATTTTTGAATATTGAATAACAAATGAATGTGGCACTGGGGAACACACCGTGTGTTTCTACGATACGACGTTGTGCCGTGCGTCGTGACTCGTTGCGATGTCGTGTCGTGATTTTTGACATTGCTCGTCGTAGATTTCCACAATACGACGTTGCAACGTGAAACGATGCCACGTCGTAGCACCACGCGACGTTGTAGCACGACGCGACGTCGTATCGTGTTTACGTGTAAGAGCCCTATGGGAACAGGCTAAAAACATTACGACATAATGGGAACGCGCCCTAAGTCTGAGATCTATAACATGAACTTCACATACTTTAAGCAACAAATTACGAAGTAAACTCTAAAGTTTAATTTCATTTCTTAGTTAAAATTAAACAAAGTTCGTTTTAAGTAAAAAACGAAAAACTTGCTTAACCAAAACCATTTTCGTCATTTTTGCTTAGTTGAAGTCAAAATTCGTTTTACAAATCTCAGATTTTGAGCTTTATGGTTTTGTACAATATTCCAAATAACTGACATACATTTTCTGTTATTTTAGAATCGTTTTCCCAAGAAACAAGGCTCTTGGCGCAAACCAGCGCCATCCTCGAGTTACTCAACAAATTATAATAATCAATATTCAAACCAATTCTACAGAGCCAAAGGAGATACACCATTTAACAACAATAATTATAATAAGGTATATCTGTTATTTCAATATAGCTTTAAATTTTCCGCAAAACACCTGGGGGTCTACTCTCGATCTCTGTCCAACATCTGTCCGAAACAATTACTGTCAAATAAGTAATATTCGACAAAATTAAAAGACAAGTATCAAGTATGAAGCTTCATTAGCATCACGCGGTCTTTTCATTTGGTCAAGTATTGCTTATTTGGTAGTAATTGTTTTGGACGTATGTCGGACGGAGATCGACAATAGACCCCCTGAACTAAGTGAAAGAGGTAAATGGAAGAAGTTTGATATCTTTTTCTAAGAACTTCAAGGAAAATGTTGTTACACTATTACAAGAGATTTCTCGATACTTATATGTATAAGCACTACTGAGTCAAGAGTATGTCAAGCTTGACACTTAAGATTTAAATCCAACTCTATACTGCTTATGATAAGAACAGTCCAAAGTACAAAGTGTCAAAATTGATGTGCTCTTCACTGTACAAGAATATATATACATAAGCTATCTATAGTTGATGTGAAAACACAAAATGCATATTCTGTACCACAAAGTACAACCTTTTTGTATTGGTTTCGAAATTTCATGAATAAAATTAGACTTCCATATTGTGGAAAGGTAAGGAATAATAGGCGTAGAACAAAAGTTGTTAGATTTAGTGTCTATGAATTTAATGTCTCTACTATAAAAAAACTCACATGCAGCATAAAGATATTTTACACCAATTGTATGTCTATTTTCATTTCAGCATCCCTACAATAAATACAATAAAACAAGCGAAACGAAAAGTGCTCCACCACCACCAGCGAAACAAACGAATAAACCGACTGAATGCATCGAAAAGACTGCACCTAATGTTGCAATGAAAAGTTACAACACATCACGAGAAGTTAACAGTCTTGCCAGAGAGGTACGTATTTTTTGTGCAATTTAGCTTGTTCCACTTGATTTCGTACATACAATGCTGAGTAATAATAATAATTGGTTTAGCTTCGGTCAGTAAATGGAGTAAAAACCAAGAAAAGACGTTAGAAAAAAACAACACAATAATGGACCAGATAATATTAATTACCTGATCTCAATGTAGGGAATTCCTTACTGTATTATGAGTAGCAAAGCAACAGAATTCACTCCGGGCCACTATCCCGAAGAACACCCAGACCACAAGCAATTTAGGAAAGTTTATTTCCCCAATTGACCTTACCTGGAATAAAACCCGGTACCTCCTCATCCAGCATCCACAGTGTAAACTGTGGTGCCACCAAGGACGTCGTAATGCACCAGTTGTACCAGAGGCGTTCCTAAACGCCTCTGGTACAACTAACGCCTAAAGAAGGGATTCTTACATGCATCTCAAAATACTGTCGATTTTGCCATGAGTTTTTCATCTGATGGAGTGTCTTTGAACTTCTTTGGTGGCTCTGTGCTTTTTTTATGCACTGCTTGAAATTCTACTTGAGCTCACGATTATAGTGATGAACTCAGTATTAGTAACAAACCAGTCGAAAAACTCGACGGATTTTCACCACAGAGCTCCAAAAACTTCCTTCTCTACTCGCACTTTGCGCCCATCCTGCACTGACCTTTAAGAGGATGACCTCTTGAAGGACCATCATGTGATGGTCCTGAGGGATACTCAAGGATAACTTAGTAATTTCTGTTAACATTATAAATAACTATTTTTCGGGTCTAAATGGCGTATATTTGTTTTTTCAAACAAACTAACGATTCGGGTTCTTTATAGATCCTATAATCGCGGCTGATTGTAATGGTAAAGTCGTCAACCAGTTATGTCTAATGTTAATACCATATATTTTTTTTAGTTAATACAAACCACCCTGTTATCATATTATTTTTCGCTATAGTTAGAAAGTAGTTAAATAGTTAAGAACCCTATAATTTCTGTTAACATTTGACTTTATATGGGCGTCTTCAAGTACAACTTTCTCCACAATTTTCACGTTATCCTCAGTGGCTTGCACTTTTGAACACCGGCTGAAGAAGGAGCACAATTTTAGCAAACAGCAACCATCTCTTTGTGGATGATTTTTTGAGTACTTTGTAGGTATTTTATCACAGCGCGAGTCCGATTTCTCTTTTTTTTTTATAATACCAAGCGTTGAACGAACAAGTCGTGTGCCTGGTGGTAAAAGACACGCTTATCCATAACAGTTGTAGTGCAACTCAGAGGTGTTAATCGCAAAGATCTCAGTAGCACTGCACCCGTCACCCTGAGACATAAGTTGACAAGTCCCATGTGCCTGTAATTTCACCAGCACCCTTACCCTTCGAAACCGAAACGCAGCAATGCTCACGTTACTGCTTGGCGGCTGAGATAGGTAAGGGACAGTACTTCCCTGGACAAACTCTTTCACAAGGAGCTCTACCACTTCTGTTGCCGTGTAAGACATTCTGGTTGTCTTTCACTAAGGATAGGATATCTAATAATAATAATAACGCACACACTCACAGCCCCGCCCTCGGCAAACCCTGTATCGCGAGTGCCATGGACACACACATGTACTACCACAAATTACATCCAAACTCACGTGAGAAATAAATGTAGGCCATACAAATATTCCTCTCGGCCCAGGAACCGAACCCTGGACCTCTGCTTGGCTGATCAGCATGGTAGCCGTTCGGCCACGGAAGCAGTTATATCTAGAGTACAAATGAGAGGAAGGGTCATTAGCTAATGAGATATGTAACTACTTGCATCATTACTAAATAACTCCGATACCGATAAAGTACAATTTGACATTTCGGTTCAATGACGTTTGTATGCTCATTTCCAGTTGAAACATTCTGCGAGTTTTACGAACGAAGCACCTGTCGCTGAGACGAGGTCCAGCGGGAAGGTGTCAGCTTCTCAGAGGCTCTCTAACCTTAGAGACCGTCTTAACACTGTGGATTTGATACCATTGCAGCTACCCGCCGCCAACTCCGACAGACTGGTATGTATTTAACTGTTTTTATGAGTGCGAGCAAATACACAAATCAAAAGTGCCTAGGGTTCAACCACGTTTTTGCCTATGACTGAAAATCGGGTTTTTTTATTGAATTCTTTTTAATTTTTCCTCAATTTTATAATTTGATTTTGAAAATGACCAAAAATAATCTCAGTACAGAGTACTAAAAAATTGACCCCAAAAGTCATCCATCCCCTACTTTGCCACCCTTAGAGGTAAAATATTTTCTTCAAATTTAAATGGGACCACTACTGAGGTACCTCTTTCCAATAAAAAAATAATCTTCAAAATCGGTTATCGTGCGGGGTTTTATCGCTTAACATACATACAAAAAAAAAAGAAAAACATACAGTGGAATTACGAATCTCCTCCTTTTTTAAAGTCGGTTAAAAAATAATCCATTGATGCTAAGAAAAATTATTAAAAATACCAGATTTTCCGTAATTAACAAAAACGTACTTGATCCCTAAACACTTGATGTATAGTCGTCTCTAGATAGCGACGTTATGTTCTGTACTGAAGTAAACAATTAAGAAATTATGAGCTGCCCTTGCTTCAATGCAACTAAAAGACAAAAAGAATGTAATGTTTCACTGTCATTTACCTTTCAAAAAAATCGCTAATATTTGAATGTTTAAGTAGGCTATTCCATGTTCGTGATTGATTCTAATCTTGCGATCTATAGTATGTACAGACAACAGCACATCGGACTACACATTTTTGTTCGAAAATCGCCGCCTCTCAGAAGGCACTGTAACGATTATGGATAGGCATGTCACTTACCACCATGCGCACGACTTGTTAGTCCCGTCACTTGATATCATAAAAAAAGTTGTTACAGTCTGAAGTCAGCGGTCCAGTAACACACGTGGCGCCGGCGCACAATCTGGAGCCGCCGCCGGAATCCGCGTCGTCAGTCGTGAAACTGGAGTGGACTTGCCGCAAGCTCGGCCTGGCCATGCCAGTGTTCAAGGTCATCGACTTACGTCCAAAGCGGGGGCCGGTTAGCTATGATTGCACATGCAAAGTAAGTTTGAATACATGTTTGCATATTTCTATATACTTAGAGATTCCATTTATTCATTAAAGATGTAAAGCGCTGATGTGACCGACAATGGTACGCGTTTGTCTAAAATAAATTTTAGACATACTTTATCATTATTCAGTAAACGATTGTCACTAATTACGACATTAGGGTCGTCGTCGAAGGCGGAAGGACGTAGATAGATACGTCCCTTCGTAAAACTGTCAACCGCCGTTTGCCAGTCAACACACGGGTTGACTGGTGTGAAATCAATTAAATTTTTATTGAATTGATATTCAATTATTTTTTGTGAAATTACTCCACTAGTTTGTTATAATTATTAATACAAAGATCGAACACTCAGAAAATACACTCAGAAAAATTCCTTTGATTCGGTCGGATTCGAAACGACGTCCTCTTGCATACCGTGCCAGACGCTATACCAACTAAGCCACGGAACACACAAAAAATACTTCACAAAAAATAATTGAATATCAATTCAATAAAAATTTAATTAATACAGTGAATAGCGACATCTCTCGCCAGGACTGGTAGCTGTAAAGGTACTAACTGGGTGATAAATCTGCAATAGATTTCTCATAGATGGCGCTACGACTAAAAAGTCGTTGAAAGACCAAGTACAAAGACACGACGCAAGCACATAGAAAAATTCGTGAGGTCCGTTGGTTCGTTCCGTGGCTTAGTTGGTATAGCGTCTGCCACGGTATGCAAGAGGACGTCGGTTCGAATCCGACCGAATCAAAGGAATTTTTGAGTGTTTTTTCTGAGTGTTCGATCTTTGTATTAATAATTATAACAAACTGGTGTGAAATCGTTCTAAAATATCGGGACAAAATTCCAATCAGCGGTACTCGCTGGTTGTTGCTCAAATTGCGCCAGGCGTACAGTAAAATAATGGTACGTCGTGCGGGGGGCTCATTTCGTGCAGCCCGATAACTAGTGATAATAGTTTAGTGCATTAAGGCCTCCATGTGTGAGACGATTTGTCAGCACGACCCGTCGTTTCTGACTGATCGAAACGACGAATCAACAGATCAGAACACACAGATCGATACTTTATCGTGACGATCGACCAAAACGAAGAATCGTCTGTATATGGCGGCCTGTGTATTACAAGATTTACAAGAGTCAACATTACTTTCAGCAAGTTTTTATAAAGAATGCGTTACTCGCTTATGTAAGAGTATAATGGTGAAACGAGCTGGTTTCCGCAACTCGATGTCATAGCGCTTATTTAACATCGTTAACAAAACGTGTTCCACATTTTAAAATCAGTACTATTAGACATTTTCATATTCGTTCCAATGCACAGGTAGGAACCCAATACACGGCTTCGTCGTACCCCGACTCATCACCATCGGAGGACTTAGCAAAGGAAGTTGTCGCAGTGAAACTCCTGGCCGTCATAGAGAGTTCAGAAGCAGGTGGTTTACCTACATCTTCTAGTAGCAAGACCATATCGTGTCTCACCGAACTCGTGTCCGAACATGAGGCTGGTCTTTGGGCGAACACTGTGCCTCATTTGTACAGGTAAGATACTGGTGTCGTTAAATGACTACGATACAGTACAAATATACTTTATTGCACACAAAAACAATACACTTTAAACAACGGACAAAAGACAGGTGCAACAGGCGGCCTTATTGCTAGATAGCAATCTCTTCCAGGCAACCTCCGGGTAACAGGATAAATTTAAAGATAATAATATATAATTGAGGGCAACAAATGCTACTGAATATGAATTTAATACATATTTTGCACTTGCATTATTCAAATTCAAATTCAAAATAATCTTTATTTCATAGGTAAGCATTATTACACTTGAAATCGTCACAATAGTTAAACTCTACCGCTCATTCGTAAGGCAGATTCCCCTGAGAAGAATGAGCAAGAAACTCTAGGGGTTGCTCTTTGTAAATAACATTTACAATATTTTTTTATTTTATTTGAAACATCAGAGATCGAGACTACCTCCATGAGCTAAACGAAAGTTTTTGTTTCACTATAGTTTTAAACCTCGTGAAAGGCAAATTTTGTATATCGACCGGAATCTTGTTATAGAAGCGTATACATTGCCCCTTAAATGATTTTTTGACTTTGTGAAGACGACTATCAAGAAAAGCTAGTTTATTTCTATTCCTCGTATTAATGTTATGTCTGTCACTATTTTTCATAAATAAATTACTATTCCTTTTAACATAAATTACATTTTCATAAATGTACTGTGAGGCTAGTGTAAGAATGTTAATTTCCTTAAACTTATCTCTCAAAGATACTTTGGGGCCCAGATTGTAAATTGCCCTAACTGCACGTTTCTGCAGGACAAAGATTCTATTGATATCGGCGGCATTACCCCAAAGCAAAATGCCGTGTGTCATTAGACTGTGAAAGTAGCTGAAGTAAACCAATTTAGCGGTTTCGACGTGTGATCTGCATTAATAAATTAAGTAAAATATCTAAATAAATTAAAAATAATAATAATATAGACTAATGTAGAATAGTAGGAGGCTTATAAGTAGACTGTAACAAATTAAGTAGCTTTAAGTTTTATTACTCATGTAATAATAATTGAGTCGACTCGAATCGAAGGGCGCTTTATGAGCTTTTCAGAACATTCAGAGTTAAAAGTTCGATTTGGATTCGGATACGATATCGTTATCCAACAGCGTTTATGGAGTTAGTCAGTGGAATAGAGTATAAGAAAAATGACTATCCTGTTATATACATTTTTAAGATTTTAAAGGCCTAAAATATAGGAATGCATTAGTCTTGCATTCACATAAATTAATAGTATTGAACAAAATCCAAACTTTATTTAAAATAATAAGAGATTTCCATATTACATTCTTGATTTGTAAACAATAGGACATTCGGTAACTTTAATTCGATAACTGTGTTCTGAATAACGAGCAAAGGCTATTGCCGGTCGAGAAGTTTGAGTAATCGTAAGGGTGTGACGTTATTTCGGTTCAGTTTCGAATACGACAGTTTGACGTTCGATTCGGGTGTTGTGAATAAAAATGAAAAGAAATCGGTCGACAACTGAGTTATCGTAAGGTTCTGAATCGACCCCCAGATCAAAATATAACTATGCTACATGAATGAATATAAACCTGCAATCCAATTATAGCTATACACAACACTTTAGTACAAACCGTACATATTAATTAATACCTAGAAGAAATTATTTAGAAATGCTTAACAAATAAAACAGAGGCCTAAAAACATAATGCTTACTTAACGAAATTAAGACGGTGGATTGGAATGTAGGAGCCTTCTAAAACTGTTATAACTACCATTATACAGATCATGGTCAGAACAGATATCGTTGTAATATGTATACATTCTGGATAACGGGTTGTTACTCGAGATATTGTTGACAGAATGTGGAACACAGAATAGATAAGGTGTATACCTTACGCACAGAACGAGTTGACACCTTCATATTTCACACCTCATATTTCACACTTCATATTTCACACCTTCATATCCTATTGAAAAGCAAGGCGAAGCACTTGCAGTGTCTTTGGACATTTTTAAAGCCTTTGGCAGGGTCTGGCACGCAAGCCTTTTAAGCAAGCTTCCATGTTATGGGCTTCCCATTGACCTTTGCAATTGGATCTCGGATTTCTTGAGTGAACGTTCCATTCGAGTGGCCTTAGAAGGCTACTCTTCCGAACTCAGTCTTGTCGAGAGTGCATGGTTAGCCGTTTAGATTTGACGCTCAAGGCAGTCCTCGATTGGGCGATGCCAATCTTGTCAAATTTAACAATAGCAAAACGCAGGCGTGTCTATTCTCCACAAAACGGAGTCCCTTTGAGCTGACTCCGACTTTTCGTGATATATCCATACCGATAGTCGACCGTCTACAGCTACTTGGAATGGACCTGTCGTCCAATCTGAACGTTGGCATTGAATCCATGGCCAAAAATGCAGCCAGGAAGCTTGACAGCCTTTCCAGGGTGAGGCGTTACCTCACATCAGAACAGCTGCTTCAGCTGTATCAAGCACAAGTCCGGTCGTGTATGGAGTACCACTGCCAGCTTTGGGATAGCTCTACTACATACCAACTGGCCACCTTGGATTCAATTGACAAGCGTGCCAAGAGGCTTATAGGTGACTCGGAATTAGTAGAGGCCAAGCTGCAGTGTCTTCAACACTGCCGTAGAGTTGCCTGCTTATCGGTATTTTACGGGATATTTCACGGAGAGTGTGCGATGGAATTACACGATTTAATTCCGCCTTCCCCATCATTGGGGGATTAGGCGTAGGAATGGCTTCCACCCCTATGTTGTGGATATTCCAATTATATGGCGAACGGCTATGGAGTGGAATTCCCTGCCTGCAGATTTGTTCCCTGAATGTCATAACTTGGACCTTTTCAAGGCGAGAGTGAATAGGCATTATTTAGGTGTGCATGCTCCATCGTCACTTTCCATCAGGTGAGATGGAAGTCAAATGCACACTTACATTTGAATAATAAAAAAAAACCTAACCCAATAAAAAAATGTATATTGTCTGTAGAAGTTCTTACTTTCATGTTGGTAAAACATAAATAAGAAACTGTTTAACAATCATATTATTATATGCTTAAAAAAGGCAGATATGTTATGGCAGAAGAAGACTAACTACTCATTAGTCATTTTGTAAACATGTGCAGTTTCTAGAAGCTGTGCGACAAATTTCAGACGTCGATTGTTACGAACGTGACATAAATATATGTCTATGATTATTACTGTTTAATACCAACATGAACCTAAGAACTTGTTAGACATATAATATTAGATTGTTCTGTGTTAGACAACATCTTTACGTTGCTCTGATCCCAAAGTAAATAACTAAAGCACTTGTATTATTGAAACCGGAAACAACGACGGTACAAACACCCAGACCGAGACAACATAAAATAGTCGGCCGGCCGGTATCGAACTATAGACAACTAGGTACATAACTGAAAAATCGAACCCGGGACCTCGGAAATAGCGACACCATGAAAATCGGTGTGCATGCCACTCGACCACGGGGGTCGTCATTAGAACTTATGCAGATAAAGTCAAGTATGTGATACATGCTGTGTTAGGTTGTAATATGTATATTTCGTTATATATTACTCCCGTGTGAAGTGTGAATTATAAAGACGCCATACCGTAACTATTTGTTTCAGAGAAAAGTACGGCGAAAATTTGCCCAGTAATTGGCAAGAATTAGTGGAAAATTGCCCTCGAATTATGACAGACAGAGTTGTAAATGGACTGCTTGTACTTCTTCCTCACAACGAGGTATGTGCCTTGTAATTATTGTGTTACAAAAACTTAACAATGTTCTTTTTTAATTTTTTAATACGTGTACATTTGTATATAATTCCATGCAATTCTAAAAAGTGCAGTTGGTTAATGTAACTCGATATTATCAATAATAATAATTAAACCCACTGAGAAAGGTTTCTAAGTATTAAATTTACATTACAAACTCAATGTGCATTTACATTTGTAGGACGCACCACCTACGTCATTCCTAGACACAACTACAGTGCTGGACGACACTATTGAGAGCAACCTACCGCCGCTGCAATTCCCCGAGGACGATTTTTGGAACGTGTTCGTCACTGTAGCGAATTCCACTCTCGAGATTTGGCTTAGGATAATTGGACCACAATATAGCGTGAGTAAATTGTACTTATCAACCTTTTAGTTTATATACGCAAGACTACACATGGTACACACTCGATTTTAGGGTCCACTAAAAACCAGCGTCACAGCCTTCTCTCGACTGTGGCATAAGTTGAGTGGAGCCTTTTGCATACGCTACAGCCGCACACATGATATTTATTCAAATTGTGTGTTGACTATTAAAAATTTGATGTTTGTTTTGTTTTTGGTTATTTTATTTTTTGTTTTATTTTTGCTTTGTCTTTATTTATTTATTCTTTCTTTCCGTGTATTCTTGTGTTGTGGCGTTGTAATAAATGGTTTCTATACTATAAGTCCCATTGCGCAGGGTACAGATCTAATTCTTTATTTTACATTTCGAAACCATTCGGATGTTTTCGAAAATCTACGCGAATTCACGATTCATGACCTTCAGGTTAGCCTTGTTTGGGGTGGCGGCAGGTCTGCCCTACAAAGAGGGGTATCGTGCCGCAATACACAATACTGACATATTGTGTATTTTTTCACAATAACTCTCATTACAAACCTGTATGCGGTCCACTGCTGGGTACGAGTCTCCTCATGGGATAATAATATTTAGGTCCTAGTCCACCATGTTGGTTCAATGGGGCTCAGGAGTTCATTATAACTTTAAAAGACTTCTTGAATCTTCTGTAAAGGTTTCATCGCAATGTTTTCCTTCACTGTGAAAGCAAATGATACTAAACTGCGCATGATTCGAAAAAACATCCTGGCGCAGGCTCCCAAATGGCAATCAAAGTCAGGACCTAGATAAGACAAGCATTCATCCAACTAGGCTGTTGTTACATTTTCATGAAAACCTGGCAACGTGCTCTAGACCACATCTTCATGTTTGTAACCATGTATATGTATGTTATAAATCGTTATGTACTTATTCCTTGTAGGATGTTTTCGAAATGCTACAAGCCGATATGACGAAGTACTACGAACGCGCGGGCACTATAGTTGATAAGGCGATGATTATTAAAAATGCATGGTAAGTATTACAAGCCTTGCGTCAAACGTAGAATATATTCAAGCCTGGACTAAATACATGCTGTCTTAATATATAAATTATAAATTACAAATTATTTTTTATGTGCATTGGAAATATACAAAATACTGTATTTTGACCTCATTTACTTACAATACAAACTACAATCATTCATTACCACTAACCGGACACCACGAAAGTTGTGCTGTCCTGAATCCTTGTTGTTTCGTTATGATTCTCCGTCCACATAGGTTCTATATACCGCATTGTTTGTAGTTATGTTTACGTTAGTGATAACCCTAGAGACACACGATGTCCCTAAGGATTCTGATAAACATGATATTAATTTATTTATAATTTTTTGTAATTATTTTTATAAATATAAAATTTTAATGGGATAAGAAAATTTTTTTATTGTGCAAATTTGACCTACCCACTTTTTGTTTTCAAAAAAAAAATGAGTTTGAATACCACGTAGTGCCTAGAAAACAATTGACTGATAATTAAAAAATCACAATATTTCTGCGGGTGAGACGCAGATCATTGATAATTCAAAAATAATTTTGCTTTCGCTAAAAAAAAGCTACTCGATGTGTAGTGGTACTTTATAAAGGTACCAAATACCAAATTGTACCTATTTCCAAAATTAAAATATGTTTTCTTCATATTTACTATTTGCCAAAAAGAAACATTTAGTTGGCAGTTTTGGTTGTACTCTGCAGATCTAGGTGTTTGACATGATTGTCTCGCACATTTTAATTAACTCATTTTCAGGTATGCGGTAAAATTGGACGATGGCGAATGGCACCGCGCAAAGATCATTGAAATTGAAGAGAACCTTGCGTTCGTGTTCCTCGGCGACCACGGAGACGACGATAACGTGTCTTTAGACAAGATTAAAATTCTCGAACCACAGTTTAGGAGGTTACCGGCTCAGGTGAGAACTAGTAGGAATTTTAAATCTTTTATATGATCTAAAACCGTGCCTAAATCTTATCCACTTGACCCACTCTAGGGCGCACTATAAGTTTCCGGAACTGGCCACTTACATAAACAATATTTAAAAAGTAATTACAACATTTGAAAATTGAACTTTGTGGCTGTAGAATACAGTTTGTTTCATCTGACTGTCACTTGTTTTTTGTGTGTTTTTACATTGTGGCGTCATTTTAGACATTGGTTGGCTACATCACCATGGATTTAATTGAAATTTTTCGTAATATGATTTTCTACGACTTTAAGTGTAATTTAACAGCTCAGTGAAGCTTCGCTCGGCTTCAAACTGCTTTTGGCGATGAAGCACCATGCAAGTCTACTATTTATAGCTGGTTTGCAGAATCTAAATGCGGTCATGTAAATCTCAGTGACGAATGTCGTGATGGTTGCCAACACTGGTAAATGGATGGTAACAACAAAAACATCGATGTTGTGCGCCGTGTGATCAAAACAGACAGGCATGTGACATACCTTGAGATTCGGGTATCTTTAGGCATAGGCATGATAAAATACAATAAATACTGCACAAACATTTGGGCGTGAAAAAGCTGTGCTCTCAGTGGATCCCAAACAATTTGACTGAGGCTCAAAAAACGGATCGCGTCACTTGGTGCAATGCCGTGCTTACCAGATTCAACGAAGGAGCGTCAAATTTGGTGTGAGACATAGTAACAGGTGACGAAACATGGATTTATAGTTACGATCCCAAAACAAAGCAGCAATCAAGCGTACGAGTCTTTCGAGATGAGCCGAAACCAACCAAAGCGGCGCGCGTGCAAATTGCCTCTAAGCAGATGATTGCTTCTTTTTTTTATAAAACTGGACACGTGGCTACTGTTGCTTTGGAGAATCGTTGTACCGTGAACAGTGATTGATAGATGACCATTTGTTTGCTGGAAGTTATTGACAAACTCCGTAAAAATAACCGTAAACGCCGTATCATCTTGCACCACGATAATGCCAGTTCTTACACGGCCAGACAGACAAATGAATTTTTGAAGGTGAACAACGTTGACCTTATGAGCCATCCCGCGTACAGTCCCGACCTGGGACCTTGTGACTTTTATTTATTTCCAAAAATTAAGAACCAGTTATGCGGTCAATGATTTTCATCACCTGAAGAGGCTGTCGAAGAGTATGAAAAATATGTTTCAGAGATTGTCACGGAGGAGTGGCATAAATGTTTTCAAAATTGGTTCATTCGAATGAAAAAGTGCATTAACGCTAATGTAGAATATTTTGAGAAAGAATAAAATAATTTGTGACCATTTATAGTATTTTTTTCTTATTCATTCCAGAAACTTATAGTGCGCCCCACCTAGGTGTGCAGCTTAAAGTGTCGTGGCTTGTATATTTAAATGAAGTTGTTCACATACAGAACAACACGATTAACTGTCGTTCGCGACTTTTTTGACATTATGACGACAAATGAAACGTGACAATAATAGTAGCTGCGACCATTTGTCGTTACGTTTTTATCATGACGTTTTATTTATTGTCAGGCGACTGTCGTTCTAAGTCTTCCCATTGTCACGACAGTCTGTCCTAACGACAAAAAAGTCGTGAACGACAATTAATCGCGTCGTACTATATGTGAATAACTCCATTTAAAACAGACTGTCGTGACAATGGGAATGGGGAACTAAAACGACAGTCATCTGACGATGAATAAACCGTCGCGATAAAGACGTAATAACATATACTCGCAGTTTCAAGCGATTCTGTCATGCGAACGACAACGCGGCTGCCGTGAACCGATAAATTGTAGTCACGATCTCGTGGGAACAGCCAGACCCGACGAGTTGTTCAACGATAAAATAAACATCCACGAGACAGTCACGACAAATAGTCGTGATATGGGTACAGGCTAGACGCGACAGTCGTCCAACGATAAATAAAACGTTACAACATAATGGGAACGCGCTCTTAGTGAGAGGTATTCCTACACAATATTTATTTAGAAAAAAAGTCATGTCAAAAGCCGGCACCGAGTTCGAATCGTCGACCTTTCAATTGACAAGCAACGACTCCTCCACTAGGCTAGAACCACTACAGCAAATGGTATTGTATATAAAATTTGCTAGGCAATTCTATGCCGACTGGAAGGCTGTGAAGAACTAGCGGCGACTGAGGAAGGTGCAGCGTTGGTAGCAAGACGGCTACCGGGCGAGGTTCTGGTAGCTGCGCCAGGCGCACGCGCCGATCCTTCCGACCCCAGCGTAGCCGTCGTGCTGTATGACACCTCTACACAACGTGACCTTAACCTCAATAAAGAGATTGTCCATGACTTCTGCATCGCCGGCGCATTCACGCTTACGCAGGTAAATAAATATGCAACTATTGTCTCATGTACAAGTACTATTTATGTATGTATAGGTGTTGAAATCTTGAATTACCGTAATAATTAGAGTCGCAACGCATATAACGGTTACTATTCGGTATTCGGCCGAATATCGAATATTAAATCATTGATCGGCCGAATACTTAAAAACATGAGGAAGGAATAAGAAAAATAAACACGGTAACTTTTATTGATGCTGAAAATATAAATATTGTAAGTTCTCGAAAGTTTGAGCGTCAATGTTTTGGTACGTGCATTAATCAGGCCATATAGGTTGGTCAAATATTCGGTATTCGGCATGAAACCTAGTATACTATGTGTCTTACAAATACCTATTATTTCTTTTTATAAAATATTTTTTCAAGTAATTGTATCATCGGTAGTGACTTTTAAAAGAAGTGTTTTAACAAGCCCCGCGTTTGACATTTGATTATATTGTTGCTGTCTCTTATCGCCAGTGAAGCCATAACGAAAGCGTAGACGACAGCCATCGCATTTATAATGAATACATTATTTTTTCTACTATCATGGTTTTTGAGCATGTTGGAAAACGTTTTATTGCCTAAACGATAGTACTATAAAGGAAGACATAGTTTTGAGCTCCTGTAATTTAGTATAAATTTTGTGCAAACTGACAACCCATAAATAGTATTCATTTCTGAAAAAAAAAAATTGAGTATTATAAGTCAGTACCCAATTTAATAGAGTTTAATAAGTTAGTATCCAAAATACATGTTGTCTATTCAAAAAATGAAAAACGTTTAGATTTTATTCTGCTAAGAAAATTACACAGAAATCGTGAAATTGATAAAAGGATCATTTTCGGAGTTTTTTTTCCTGTACCTAATTTTGGTGACAATGTTTATTATTTAAATATTCTAGAATATTACCGCGAAGTATTACTTAATTTATTCGAATACTTAAATAATTAAAATTGCCACTTAAATAATTAAAATTAGGTAGAGAAAACTAACCTGAAAATTACCCATAACCAACCTTGCGGAACACCAGCCCGTTACACCAAGTACCCAAAACACTACTTCTCATTATAATGACCGATTCTCCTGAAATAATTAGTAAGAAACTCAAGTGATTGTTTGCTGTAAACAGATATTTGTTCTTATTTATCATTTAAAACATTCATTTCCAATGTCATACATAGAAACAACTTAAAAGAGCTGTACAGATCATGATCATTCTCAGAACCTAATAAATCTTCTGTTTAAAGTTTCTCGATAGTTTTAAACCTCGTAAATGGCAAATTTTGAATATGAAAATAAATCTTATTATTGAAGAAACGTGTACATTATTTGGTAAATATGTTTACTTAATTTGTTCTCGTTTACTTTTTGTGTTCGTACTATTTGTTGACACTTGTGACTGAAATTATTAAAATTATTTTCTCTTTTCATGTCCATTTAAAGATTGATGACGACGAAGTAAGTTTTCATACAATATTTTCGGTTTTCGTAACGAGTGTTAATTGATTGCGTTGGAATTTGTAACAATTTTTTCGCTTTAAATTTTCATGTTTGCCGTTTTCAAGGAACTTGTGAGTGTTATTTTGATCGAATATTTATGAAATTTGCTTTATATATTTTTAAAGTTTCATAATGCTGATTGCTAGATTTATTTATGGAATGTTTAGCACAATGATGTAGTACCTTGCTGAGTCTATTTACGCCATCATATACATGTACCACCTAATGGTTATATTTTATTTACATGTCTTGTCCTATAATGGATTTCCTTGTAAGTGTATAATAAAGACGGTATCATGAATAACCGCGGTGCGGGGTGGAGCAATTTATCACACTCCGTCACTTAAGTGTCGTAAACATTTTGTCTGTAAGTTATCTCTTCATCATACAAGACAGAGAGTAGGACTATTCAAGGTACTTCAATGTGAGACGAATTCTGCATCCCGCCCATTTTTGCGCTAACTACATATATGTGTATATGTAATGATGAGATGTTGTTTATTACAGACAAGTCAGAATAACTGCTATTTTCCTTTGTTGTGCATGTTAATGCGACAATGATGTTCTCAAGGTTATTTAGGTACAGGGTTATTTGTAAAATACTAACCACCTCGATGGACTACATTACTAACATCAACAATAAATTTAAATGGATCGCTCTAAACGGCAATAATTATGTGCGGTAACAAAAGAAAGTGCTAGCGTAAATACCGATGCAAAACGCAGGAGTGGGGCAGAGAGTTGTCACCAAAGACTCTTGCACGTTTGAACTTATTACCGTACTACCAAATACAGTTCTAAAAAGTGTCAGATAATTCAATAAAAACTGAAAAAAATATTTTTGGTAAACTAATTATGTTTTGTAAAAAGTCATGGAACAAAAGTTGTTGTTTATGATGTTAGTAACATAGTCCTGTGAGGTTGTTAGAGTCGTATTTTACAAAGAACCCTGTATAAATTTTCGGTGCGCACAGAAACTTTGCGAGGTTGAAGTGGGATGCGTGACGGAGGAGGGTCGCGTGTGGGTGGCACGCGCAGGCGGCGCGGCGAGGATTGCGGCAGCGCTGGCGCTGTTGACGAGTGGACCCTACCGCCGCCCTCTGCCAGCCGCGCCAGCAGCGCCTTCGCCTAATGCTTCTACGCTTTACATCGTACGCACTCTCGCCGGCGACTGGTATGTAGCATTTTATTTCGACTCGTTGTTCGGAAATTCATAGGTAAATCCTTGCTGCCCCAGTGGTTTGATTAACTGTATTTACACTGACCGCCAAAGTATTTGTAGATAGGGGTGGGCATTTAAACAAGAAGCATTTTAAAAAGGTTACTTTTATGTAAAAGTGCTTATATGAATAAGCACACAGACACGCTTATAATTTTAAATTGTAAGGGTTGCGCAGTTCAGTACTTAACAAGTTGTTTTATTTTTACAACGTGCGTATGTATAAAGTCTCGCCATATATTTGTGGCTATAATGAAAAGGGGTACAAGTCAAGAAACCCAACTTTACAAGGAGACGCGAAACCCAGTTAAACCTAAACCTTAATATAATGTTAAGTGTTTTTCGCGTTTCCTTGTAAAGTTGGCATTTTTTACTTTTGCCTCTTTTCACTAGAGCCACAGATATGTTTCCTGAACAAATTAATTCGTCAATGCGAATAATAATGTTATAAATAAAATTAAAACTCGTATTTTACAAGTAAACTTACTTGTCTTACAACTTTTAGTGGCTTACTTACGCTTTTTGCTGTCAGCAAGTTCAAGCTTTTTTTTAACGTAAAGCCTATGAGCTTAAACGTTTTTCTATACGATTTTGTAAGCTTCACACTAAAACGCGTTCAAGTGAAAACTTCACACTAAATAGCGTTTAATTGAAAGCGCTTTTATAAGCACGCTTGTTGAAAAAAGTACAACGTTTTAACGTTTAAAATTAATAAGCAGTTTTTTTTCCACCTCTAGTTGTAGAGAATACTGATATAACGGCCTTAACAGTTACCACATATGCTTTCTATGATTACGCCGAATTTTCCTCGTGTGGAAGGGTTTCAAACTGTTTGAGTATTAATAAAATCGCCCTGATATACACAAAAACACACACGAAACATACCTCTCTAGAAATATATTATGGTTATGGTCAGGGTCCGCTGTACTATTATCAGCGGTCTGGACGGCGAAGGCACTGTTCGCACGCAGCTGGTGGACAGCGGAATGATACTTCGCGCCCCACTCTCCTCTCTTGTGCCGCTGCAGAACTTCTCACCCGCCCTCAACGCTTATCCCCCTCAGGTGAGGTATCTTACTATCGAACCATCCCATTCCGCGAACATTATAAATGTTAAAGAACAACGGCGAAATTATTTTTAAAAGTCTTCAAACGTCATAATTACGAGTTTGGTTGAAATTAATTTATTAGATTTTTCAAATTATGCTGAAGGCCGTAAGTCTGGAAATGGAATAATATTCAAATGAAACTCTATTTCTTAACTTTGAGCGACATCTAACCGCCAAAAAGAGATTTACAATACCTACGTATAGATTGGTCCACATTAAGTCAGTTCACGTAATATAAAATGTTTAGACTCGAATAAGAGATTTTATTTACTTATAATAGGGGTTAAAGTATGAAATTGCCGATTTGTACTGAAAATCTAAATTGTTTATTTTTTAAATTTTTAACAAATTTATTTAATCAAAATAGTTGCCATTATTATCTATACATTGCTGCCATCTAATGGGAAGGTTATTAATGCCTTTGCGATAGAACTCCGACGATCTAGACTGCACAAACTGTGTGAAAGCATTTTGTACTGCCTCCTGGGAAGAAAACTTCTTGTCACGTAGATAATTGTCCAAATCACGAAAAAAATGGTAGTCCGTTGGAGCAAGGTCTGGTGAATACGGAGGATGACGAATGGTTTCTAACTGCAGTTCCTGAAGGGTCTAAATGGTTTCTCGTGCTGTGTGAGGTCTCGCGTTGTCGTGGAGCAATAATGGTGAAGATCGATTCATGATTCGGGGCTGTTTTACTGCTAGTTTTGTCAACATGGTTCGGAGTTCGGCACAATAGACATCTGCCGTTATTGCTTGACCAGATCGGAGAAAACTATAGTGAATAACACCGTGCTGAGACCACCAAACAGTTACCATTACCTTTTTATTGGTAAGTTTTGCTTTAGGACACTGTTGTGGCATTTGACCTGGGGTCAGCCATTGCATTTTTCTTTTCCGGTTATCATAAAGAATCCACTTTTCATCACATGTTACAATTCGATCCAATATTCCTTCATTTCTGTACCGGTTCAACAAGGCAACACAAGTTTCAACACGCGTTTCTTTCTGCAGATCAGTCAAATCATGAGGCACCCATTTTTCGTATTTTTTTATTTTATTGATTTGACGCAAGTGAGTCAATATTGTGGGTAAGGTAACGTTAAACCATGCCGCTAATTCCTGGGTAGTTTGACTAGGATCGGCTTCCACTATCTCTCTTAATTCATCGTTATTCACCTATGTGGGCGGTCTTCCTCGTGGCTCGTTCTTTAAGTCGAAATTTCCATCACGAAAGCGTTTAAACCAAAATCGCACGGTGCGTTCATTAGTAGACCCCTCTCCAAACGCAGCATTGATATTGCGGGCTGTTTCTGCCGCGTTAGTTCCGCGTCGGAACTCGTATTCAAAAATCACTCGAATTTTCGCAGTATCCATCTTTCTTGTCTAAATTGAATAACAAAAGCAATTGAAAGTCGATATTCAAATGTTTAACGTTAAACCATTTGAAAAAAGTTTCATTCGAAAACCTCAAACCATGAAGATTCTATGAAAATTCAAAGAACCTATTGCAATAAAACGGCAATTTCATACTTTAACCCCTAATATTACAAACAATACACTTGACAAAAATCCTTCTCCAAGTACATATGTCACGCGAGATAATGGTAAAAATGGCAAGAAAGTTCTCGATATCAGGGATATATGCCATCTTTCACAAAAATATAATTTGTGCCTGTGTTACCAGGGCATGGTATATAATTACGTTACGTTATAATTAAGGGAGTGACGTCACAGACGTCAGTGAAACAAGTTGCACAGAGGGGCTCTCTAATTTATTTAGCTCAAAAAATACTAAACCTAAACATACACAAGTGTACTAGTAGTGCAAGTTAACTTATTTATTCTGCGGTTAACATAGTGTTTTCGTGATATCCCAATGGTGATTTCTGGTATAAAATCGATTTAGAAGTTGATACAATATTCTAATAAAAACAATAAAGGGTGCTACAAAATAAAATTATTTTGCCCGTACCGCCGGACAATCGAGTGTCACCTTTGGTTAACATCATATATTTTGCCCTTTGCGAAACGTGTGAGTTACGAATTGTGTGAGTGCGCGGGCGCAAGTTTCAATATCGCGATGGTCGCTAAGTGCAGTGAGTGAGTGAGTGAGTGAGTGAGTGCGGGAGACACCGGCGCGCCGGCGCACCGTCTCCGTTGTGAGGCCGACATCACAAAGGTTTTTGGGCCCGCTGACGTTCGCTCCCCGAGCTCATGAGTCGGTGCTTTTTACGTACTTTTGCGCTTTTACAACCTACTAACTATTGTTTTTATAAAAACCCTCGAAATTTGAACTGTCATGCGTGTGGCGGGGCAACAACGGTGATACACGAGCACAACACTAATTTATGTATTTTACTCAACGTAATGTATTTAAAATATGTATTATTTTCATTAACTCATATTTACATATAACACGTTTAACGCAAAAACTTCAGTCCAATCGAATCTTTGTTTACTATTTATACACTATATTTACAAATTATTTATATACATCCAAATCTAAAGACGAATGCTACACCTACAATAATTTACATTTATTCCCGACATATTACAATCAATCATTTATTAATTTAGAATTAACGACCTCAATCTGAATTATAATTCATTTATATAAAATTTAATACTAAGCGTAAACTTAAGTTAGGACTAATAAACGTCGGGTCACTGGGAACGCGCCACGACGAGGTCTCGGTGGCAATGGATCGACATGACTTCGATATTCTAGCGGTCAACGAGACGTGGTTGCGGGAGGGCGAGGAGGGGCGGTGCCCGGCTATCGCTTACGTCACATTCCACGGCCTGCTGCCGTGCGCTCGTGCGGCGGCGGTATTGTTTTTTATATTCGAAAGGGTATAGAGCGGTGCGTATACTGATGCATCCACCGACTGAATTGGTCGAGCAGATGTGGATAAGTCTGACAATTAACGGCATTAAACTAGTTATAGGCACAGCGTACCGCCCACCTTGGTTAAATATAAATACATTTTTAGAAGGTTTGACCGAAACTGTGACTTGCTTTGCTTGGTGTAACAAAATATTATTATTGGGTGATTTTAACATAGATTTCTTGCATAATTCTGACAGTAACCATAAAAAACTTGTAGATTTTCTAACATGTCAAAAGTTGAAACAGATTGTTAATACACCAACTCACTTCACACAGTTCAGCGAAACTTTAATTGATATCATATGTATGGACATTGATGGTGCCAAAGTACACGTAGATTATATAAGGGAGTTAAGTAGTCACGCCTTCATCTCCTGTGAAATAAACCTCAAAAAAGATAAACCATCGCCTATAACGATAATTCGCAGAAACCTACACAATATTAATTGCGTAAATTTTGACTGGCAACTAGATAATTTGGATTGAGCTGGCGTATGTGAACTAGACAGCGTGGATGACATGGTGCAGCGTTTCAACTCCATGCTAATTATCACATCTATGCTGACGATATTCAAGTTTATACCTCATGTAAACCTTGTGATACCCATAATGCAGTAAGACATCTTAATGAAGATTTAGAACACATTGCTACATGGGCTGAATCAAATGCATTAGTACTTAATGGGTCTAAATCTAAATACATCGTTTTAGGCACTCGAAACCAGATAGTGAAAATCAAAGGGAATATCTCAATAGGGAAATATCTTTGGCAATTAGGGGAAAAAATATTGAGAGAGTTAGTGAAGCTCGAAACCTGGGCTTGCTGTTGGACGAAAAACTACGATTTGAAAATCACGTGATAGGTGTTGCTAAAAACTGCTTTTATAGACTTAGCCTGATGTACCAGATTAGAAATTACCTTAGTCAAGAAGTCTGCATAAAAGTCTGTGATTCGTTGGTACTGTAGCCTATAAGGCTCTACTCTATGAGTAGAACTACTGGCTGAGTGAATATAGTTTTGTATTTAGAATGTGTTTGAAAAAATAGAATAGAAAAGAAGAACATCTTGATAGTTAAAAAACTAACCTCAAGAAGTGAACATGTAAAAAAGTAGAATAAATATTAAGTTTTGAAGATTATCCCAGTTTATATTCATAAAGTACCTCTCGCTACGCATCCTAAGCTACGCCTCAGTTTACAGTACTATCAAAGTTTAATTATATGGATGTAGTATATGGGCCGCGGCTCCTAGCCCGTTCACAACAACTAGTCCAATGAGTACAGAACGCTTGCGCCTGCTTTTGTTTCACTATACCACCACACACTCACGTTACACCCTCTATATAGGATGCAAATATTTTAAAAATGAAAATTCGAAGACACCTACATTTGGCGACATTATTATTCGGAATAATAAAATATAACAGTCCATCTTATCTGGCCGAAAAACTGATCTGGTCCTGGACGTGAAGAACCGGTTCACACGAGACTCGGCCTGGTCGCTCGCGGTCCCCCAACATCGCACCAATGCGTTTCATGGTAGCTTCAAATTCGCCGCATCGAAGTTCTGGAATGGCTTGCCGCCACCGCTTCGAAGTCTGAAATCAGTGTACACCTTTAGATTTAAGTACAAGGTATATATACTTTTTGGATAACCTAAAGAGCATACTCTGATAATAATCGCTTACCTCACTGGTTCCAAACTCGAAGCGTAGCCCCATCGTCCAAGTGCAAGGTTTTGCAAACTTTCCGTTTTATCATTGTACCCTTCATAAGATTGATTCACTATTATTATTAATTTCTTGACCGTAAATTGAAAATTAATAGTAAAAACAAGAATCTGGTTTTTTTCTACGCGGCCGCTCGATCCAGGCTTGGCGAGGAATAAAAGAACAAAAACGAATCTATACTTGTTATTGATTGGCTTATCTCTAATTTGAAAAGATGTAACGGATTCTGGACTGTTATTTAAATGAAACTTTACCGTGTTGGAATAGTGTTGAAAGTTCAATACCTTTTATTGCTACTTACGACATTTTGTTTAATATATTCAATGTGCTGCTATCTAGCGGTAAATAGATGAAAGACGACGAACGATCGACATCTTTAAGTAACATGACAGGTTCGAAATGTTTATTTATTTCTCACACATTATTTATTACTTACTGCAAATAATATTAATTACATCTTCATATAACATATGTATATACCTATTAATTAAGTAATTAAATTAGTTTACACTTATGCTGTTTTATTTATCTATGTATTCGTTTTATATATTTAGTGTAAATATTTTTGTATATACCAAGTTTCACGCACATGTTATGCATGCATTTGTTTTGTTTGTGCTCGAGTCCGTGCTTCACTCATATCGGGCTTGCTGAAGGCCAGCGCTGCAGGCTGAAATCTATCAGTCTGTAGCTAATAGCTGAGCAAATCCCGTTTGCGTGCTCCGCGACACGCATTTATTATTACATTTTTTATTTTTTACTTTTGTTTTAATCATTGTAATTATGTTTTAACTTTTGTTGTAAGTACTGTATTTTAGTTTAAAGTTTATAATATTGTATTTTAATTTTAAGATCATGTGTGTGTCGGTGCTTACGCAATAAAGTATTCTTATTCTTATTAACTCAGTTTTCTTTTGTTATGGCTTAACGTCTTCATGCCTTTTGACCTTACGTTATAAAAATATTTTCCTGTAAACTTTCGTCACCTCACAAACACACGGCACCATTCAGCTTCTATTAATTCTGTTTAAAACTTCTGTAGTTTATTTTGATATAATAATACACCAAATATATTTTATTCAATTATGTAAAATATAACCTCCAAAACTTCAAACTGGGATATATTTCATTTCAGACTTCTCAGAATACTAAACCCAAAACCAAATTTTTCAGGAATTGAAACTCTGTATCGACTGTGAACTGGCAATCGGTACTATCTCAATTTTGACAACTTTACAGGTGAAGAAAAAAAAATTGTTTTTGTCATTTAATAGCATCTGGTTTATTAAATAAAAATACGTAGTTTTTTAATATTTTTATTACATGCATGTGCACTACGTAATTTTATTTAATAAACCAGATGCTTATATATGATTTTTACTTCCTCCTGTAAAGTTGTCAATTGAGATAGTACCGGTTGCCAGTTCACAGTTGATATTTTTCATGAACAGGTTCATATAAATTATGCCAACAAAGATGTATATGGGAGTTCGCCATTGTTCTTTTTGTTTCTTATTCAGTTCCACAGATTATATTAGATTAGATTTAGAAGACACCAGGAAAACCGGTGTGCATGCCACTCAACCATAGAGGTCGTCAAATTTGGTGAATAAATTTATTTTATTTCTTCTTATTATTTGTTACCGCTGCATGTCGTATTAAACACTAGCCCGATCACCGTTGTAACGGTTATTTAAAAGTTACAATACCCATTTACATTTTTATACATATTTTATGTACTCGCAATTATATGTTCAAGGATTCTTATTTTTTAATTGTTAGCACCTATTTTTAATTATTATTAATGATAATATTTGTACTTACGTGATCTAACAGGTCTTATCTTGATAGTTTACCTATTGTGAGTAGTCATTAACGTGAAAAAAACACTAAATTATTTTATCATTTTTTAAAACATAGAAAAAACACGGCACGTTTCTTTTTTTCTAAAATTGTTTGTTTTTCAGATAAAGTAAAATAATATAAGTACTGTCTGCGATTATTTTATTTTATGAATACTGTAAATATGAATTTTTGTATGGAGCATAATATTAAATAAAAAAGGTAGTGTCAAATTAAATCTAAAAATATTTTATTTTCCCACTTTTAGCATAAAACCTACGCCACAAAAAACGTCTTCTTTTTCCGTTTTTTTACAACACTAATAGTGAGTTGTTACATTGTAAAATATACATAAGGAATACAAGTTTTTAAGTATAAGTTGTTTTGTGATTTTTTTGTAATTGGCTCTAGACGCCAATCCCGCCTCTTCTCTGCCCAAGAGCCCATGCTAGGCTGCATACAATATACGTTATTATTTGGTGTGCATTAATCTATAACATCTCTATATTCTACAAGTAATTAATGGTGAACGGTGTTGGTGATACAAACATCACGTAAATTAATTGGCCCCAAGTATACAAAGAAAGAAATCAACCCCTCCTACGTAAAGTATCTTATGTCGAAATTGCCAAGTTTACAGGGGAGCGTTTTAAAGTTTTGAATTCAATGAAATGAGCATAACACGTGACTTTAGCATTTCTCTCATTTTATTCGGCAAGGCTAGTTACTCACATAGAGTATCTATTATAAAATCCTAGATATCAGTTAGATGAACAACCATAATTTATTTTGTAATTTGTTTACTCCAATATTATAACCTTAATAATAAAGAAAATGTTCTGGATGATTTACATACCACGCGAATCCTTCCTAAATTGAATATTCATACACACATTTAGTAATTTTGGAAATGCAATTTTTAAACTTAGCAATACCTAAAGATTCTCTTTAGTACTTCTCAGAGGACGCTTCCCGAATGACCAATGGAATTAAAAAACAAGACAATTTCAAGATATTCAAGTGCGATTTGTTCACCTCAGAAATATGTATTATTTTAAAATATTTTGAATATGAATGGATAAGAATAAGAACTGTATGAAAACACTGATGTGTGTTGATGAGGTGACAGAGTGTGTCAGGACCGCAACAAGTGGAAGGCTGTTGACTCTGCCTACCCCGATGGGAAAAAGGCGTGAAGTATATACTTATGTCTTATTGTAGGCAATCCAAGTTCGCCTAGGCTCGGCCGAGCGCGCTGCCAGCAGTATGGTGTCGCGACTGCGGGAGCTCCTGCTGGGCGCGTGCGTGGTCTGTCGCGCTCTGCCCTCTTCGGGCGGCACCGCGTCCGCGCAGCACGTCGAGCTGTTCGTGCGCACCGGCCCGCAGAACATTCTCGCCTCCGTCAACAACGCCATTCTTATGGAGTACGAGTTTTTGCACCAGTAAGTTCGTTACTCCTCTTCATCGAGTATTTAACCAGAAATAGAGACGAAATAAGGGCCATCCATCCCTGACAACTCATTAGGTAAATGGGCCTTATATCAGTTTTAAATATCAACTCTTGTTTGCGCTGTAATCACAAATTAGAAAACTGAAATAGTACAGAGCCAACAATTGTGTGTACATCTCTGTGTATTCCAAAAATATTATGTATTTATTATAATAAAGATAATATCTCTAACAATGGGGGCTGTTCCATTCGGTGGTGTGGGAAAAACAGCAAAACATCTAATTACAAAACAAACGGAATCACATTTCATCGGTAATTAAATATTAAATATGTAATTTTGCCATTTTCGTCCATTATAGTAAAGCTCAAGTTAAACTGGTCGTTATGAAGCGAAACAATTGACGACACCCGTCAATTGTTTCGATTTCGAGCTAGCCAATCGGAGCGCAGTTGTCACAGTAATGATTTGGCAGAAAAGTTTTCAGACAAAATTAAATGACCTTTCGTCTCTATTTCTGGTTATATACTCGATGCTCCTCTTTGAACCCACGCAAATATTGAGAGATCCCGTTGTGAGCGGAAGAACAAAGTCCGAGGGAATCACGCTTGTAACAATTAAAGGTGTGCATCATGCTTGTGTATCGTGTGTCAGAAACATTTGCACTTTAGAAATTTGGATCGTCGCTTACATCCGTTTCAACGACAACAATGTTGTACATATAGCAAACACACACCCATGTCCGTAAACCACGGGCGATTAGTCGAAAGTATTCCGCAGAGGTCTCCAGTTGCGGCAGTCAGTGTCAGTTAGAAAGGATACTAAATACTTGGCGTATCACAAAACCGCCGCGGTTCAAAATACTGAACACTTAGTACAAATACCATGTAATCATTTCATTATGTAATCATTATTTTTGAATGAAATGAATGATTACTATTATTCTTTCTAATATTATTCTTTCATTCATTTTATTTATTTATTTTTTTGTAATTTTTGTACTAACTAAAAAAGTAGAATAGATGGCTTGTAAGTGTACTAACAAAATGGACTGTATATTGTCTGCAATAAATGATTTTTATTTATTTATTTATTTATTATTTAAATTGATATAATAGACTACTACTACATTTAATAATTACAGAAGTAAACCCAAAAACGTGGAAAAGGAGGCAACAAACCCTGTAGAAGCATTGAACAAGAAGAAGGAACGCATATTCCGCAGTTCATCCTCGAGCGGATCTCTTAGCGAGCGGGAGGTGGAGAAGGGCCCGGAGAGGGGCGCAAGCGGGACGCTACCGCCTCCCACGCTTCCCGCGCCTTCTAAGTGTTTTGACGTTTACATCGCTATGGCAGCTAATCCATGGAACTTTGTGGTCAGTTGATCTTACCGTGTGTCACAGTAATTGAAGGCAATGCATAGCATCACAACTCCCCTATGAATTGATCCCGATGACAAAATCATGCGCGATGTAAGATCTAGATAAGCCTTAATCCTGTATTTGCTGTCTATCATTAATTTGGATATATAGCGTGCCGGTACTATGGTCATACTTCTTTGATAACATAGGTCAGATTTAAATTTCTGAGGGAATTCAAATTATTATTAAATTTGTTGCTGTTAGGACAGAAATGACATAACAGATGAATTTGTAAAACAAAAATATTCCATTAATTTTATACCAGGTTCAACCGAACAGCACACGACACACGCTTCTGACAATGATGGCGACATTGCAAACGGAATGTGCGAAGCTGCCAGAGTCGGACGCGCCGCTGAAGCCCGCTTGTGGGGAGCTCTATACGGTTTACTACGAAAAGGACTCTTCTTGGTACAGGTAAATACTTAATTTTAGTAGCAATAGAGCTCCTTGTGAAACAGTTCGTCCAGGGAGTACTGCCATCTTAACTATTTCTGCTGCCAAGCAGTAATGTGAGCATTACTGCGTTTTCGGCTTAGAAGGGTATGGAGGAGTGCTTAGGAGGGTGCTGGTGAAATTACAGGCACATGGGACTTGTCAATTTACGTCTCGAGAGTGTCGGGCGCAGTGGCAGTGCCCATAAGATCTTTGCGATTTAAAGCTTTTGAGTGGCACTGTAACTGTTATGAACTGGCGTGTCGCTTACCACCAGGAGCACCACTTGTTTGTCTCGTCACTTAGAATTATAAAAAAACATTATTTCTGTTATAAAGTTACAAAGGTTCACAACCCTCAGAAAACGTGTGAAGTCCTGAATGAAGATGGCCTAAAATCCTCGTCTGAAAGAAGACCTGTGTCCAGCAGTAGGACGTATAAAAGGGTTGATGATGATGATACATACAAAATAACAGTCGAATTGAGAACATCCTCCTTGCACGAAAAGATGCCTATTAATTGATCAGTCATTGGTAGCAATTTAGTAGAATGAGTTCGTCCATCGAAGAACTGTGAATGAGTTCGTCCATCGAAGAACTGTGAATGAGTTCGTCCATCGAAGTCACCCAGTCATGAATCCGGCTCCAGTTCCATTTCCGGTTTGAAGGGTATGAGTGCTGGTGAAATTACAGGCACAAGGGACTTATCAACTTATGACTCAGGTTCACAGTGGCAGTGCCCATCAGATCTTTGCGATTTAGCTCTGAGTGGCACTTCGCCTGTTATAGGTAGTCTCACTTACCACCAGGCGCACGGTCGCTTGGTATTCAAAAAAATCTTATAGTTGGTTGAAAACGTCATGTTTGTACTTGAATGTATTATATAAGAAATAAGTGTGCTACTGGGGGCTGGATGTGTCTTTCAAAATTTAGTCTGATGCTCAGAGTAACATGTCAAATCATACGCGTTTCCCAAATTAATTCGGAACTTCCGAAATTAAAACATCGAGAAATGGGTTCGGATTTTTTTATAATAATATTAAGTGACGGGACGAACAAGTCGTGCACATGATGGTAAGCTACACGCCTATCCGTAATAGTTGCAGTGCCACTCAGAGCTGTAAATCGCGAATATCTGAGGGGCTGGCAATGCCTGTCACCCTGAGACATAAGTTGACAAATCCCATATGCCTGTAGTTAGATAAAAAGTAAATGCGTCGGTTTGGACATTTCAACAAAATTTGTGAACCGTATGAACTTATGAATCCGTTTTAAACTAAAAAATACGTCTGAGCATTTGTAGCGCATGTACAACAAGCAGCAGAGTAATCTGACATTTCTTGTTTCAGGGTGACCATTGCAGGAGTAGTTTCAAACGAGATGGTGTCAGTGTATTTCTGTGATTACGGAGACTTGGCGCTGTTCACGACAAAGGCGTTGCGCCCCGTACCGCACACTGCACCACTAGCGCGCTCTCTGCCGCCTCAGGCAATTAAGGCGCGCCTCTATGGTAAGCTATACTTTCTTTGAACTGTGCCTCTACTATGAGAATACAGCGACAGTTATACGCTAGCGACCGCGTAAAAATGTTTGTATACAAAATGTTATTTCTTCTTGTGACCGCTAGAGGCGCTGTATAATTTGCCATACAAAACTGTGAAGTAATTTACGCGCTCGCTAGCGATATCTATCACAGTGAATTACCTACCAGTAAGTTTAGGGGAATAAATAGTCTTTGATTCCGGCTCTGTACTCTCGTTCTCCGTCCAAAACAATTTATTACAGTCAAATCGGAAATACTCGACCAAATTCAAACTCATGATGCGAATGAAGCTTCATACTTGACATTGTTTTTTAATATGGTCGAGTATTAGTTATTTGACAGTAATTGTGTCGGACGGAATACGAAAGTAGACCCCCAGAATCGAGGAGCCGAATTAATTATTGTTCATATTTCAGATGTGTGGCCTCTTCACCAAGACTGGACTGTAGAAGACTGTATTAGGTTTCAAGAACTGTGCGTGGAACAGCAATTTGTAGGAATTTGCAAGGAGCTGGGTAAAGATCCGCTGAACCCCAACGAGCCACTGCTTACCCTCGATCTCATTGACACCTCCACAGACGAGGATATCTATCTTAACAAACAGCTCGTCGCCGAGGGCAGAGCACGACACGCCACCACTTCCTAGTTTTTTTTTATCATGTTCTGGTTGATTATGCACCACAGTTACTATGTTGTATTCCAAGTAATGTAAGAAAACAGTGTTATATTCCTGTATGTTTACGTTTTTTTATTATTATTATAATATGTTGCTTACTAAAATGTTTTAAAAGTCCCTTAAAAAATACTCTTGTTGCGTTATTAATATGTAAGGTAAGCTTAGTTATTTTGTCGGTGTATAACTATAGAATGTTGCATGTGGACTGTTTCTGTAAGTTATTCGCGTATAACATATTTATTACACGTCCTGTAGCAAAATTAAGTGTAAGACCATTTTATTCCATGTAATCGCAGCCACATTACCTATCTAAGTCTAGATTTCAGCTAGAAGTTTTAGTTAGGTAGACGAAACTATTAAGTTTTAGCTAAAGGTATGGCAGGTATATTCATTATGATTTGACTTAATTTATTATTTCCTATCCTATCACAACCATTCCATAGCCACCATATCTTTATGCTTCAAAGCCTTGTATCTAATTTTTTGATTGGCATAGCAATAAATAAATGTAAATTACTCTTTGCAACTGCAAAATAAACATATCTCAGCAAATTTTTGTTTTATTTGGCATAATTCGCGGTTTGATATTTGATTTAGTTCATCTTCCAGTTGACTGACGTACGATTATTAAACTGATGTGATTTATACATATAGGAATAACATCAAACATACGCATGCTTGCCTTCAGCTGCGGCTGCGTGTGTCCGGAACGGTATCGTACGAATAAAATAAACCGATTGTGGCAGCGAAAGTTAGTCGCTAAGAAAGGGTAGCACTATGGACCAATAACTCGGCGTGTCTTATTCCAGCGTGACCAATGACCATGGTAAAATAGAAATTTGACTAGCCAGAAAAAAAAGTCGCTGTTTAGTCGGTTCTAGTTGCAAAAAACTTGATTTAGTCTGTCCGCCATCCAAAATATTGACCATGGTAGACTTTTTGAAATTTGACTAGCCAGAAAAAAAGTCGCTGTTTATACGGTAGACTTTTTGAAATTTGACTAGCCAGAAAAAAGTCGCTGTTTAGTCGATTTTAGTTGCAAAAAAACTTGATTTAGTCTGTCCGCCGTGCAAAATATTGTATACTAATTGACGACTTTCTGGGGATCCAAGCTAAGAACAGTGGTTCTCGAGATTCAAAAATGGTGCCGCCCCGGAATAAGCTTATTTCAATTGGACAGTAAAACTAAATTAATTTTACTAATTAATAGCTTTATAACTTCAAAACGGCGTAACGACTAATCTACTTTTTTCTAGAACCGACTAAATCACGACTTTTAGTGTAATCAGATTTAAGCTAGGCGGTTCTCGAGATTGAGAAATAGTGCCGCTGGAATTAGCATATATATATATTATGTGGACAAAATCTAGTTTTTTTGCGACTAGAACCGACTAAATAGCGACTTTTTTTCTGCCTAGTCAAATTTCAAAAACTCGACCAAGGTCACGCTGGAATAAGACACGCAATAACTCGAGAGGACTGCTGATCTCCTTACTACAGATCGCAAGCCTGAAAAAAGGTTAAAATCCCGTCTTATATCTAGATGGCGCTGATCAACAGCCTGAAAGTATTTGAAAATAAATGGCCGAGGATGTCATTTCAATTCTCCTTTATGAACTACAAGTATTCAGTTTTTTCTTTGTAAGACTCGTTACACAATTGACCATGAAGTTCATTATGCTATGTTACAAAAATTCCCTTCCACTCCGTTCCATCGCATTGTAAATTGAGCCTTTATCACACGTTGACAATGAGCTAAAATTATTTTCTGAGCTTTGACAACATGCGTATCAATAGATTTGGATTGTGTGTTACACACAAAATAAAAAAAAATGCCGTCAGTCAATAAGCGCCATGTAGTTGATTTGTTTTGTTACCACTAGAAATTAGAGTAGCTCAATGATCTTCGATTTGTGGAGTAGCTTTGATAAATTGCAGCTCGTCAATGTAAAATCAAATTTCATTTTACACAAATGCAATTAGTTACAAAAATAGCTATTTGGTACTCGTTGCGATATCGGTGTACCGATAGGTACTAAATACCCGACTACGCTGTCTTGTATGGCTATTAGCAATCCTCTTGACTTATTGGTACTTGCGATCGTAATAACTTTAGTTTTTAATACAAACAGGTACAATGGATTAAATGAATTTTTTGTGAATAGGATTGAAATGCGTCAAAGAAGCGCAATATAATATTAGAAGATTTATTATTAATTATTATTATTAAGATTTGTTACCACATGACGGCATGTGGTCTAGAGACACAAAGGCGCCCCTAACGATTTTGGTTTTTTTTCCTCTTGAAATCTGCAATTAGTACACCAGACTTTAATCAGATGAGTTGGAAGATATAGGGCGTTCCAGAAGATTCAGGCCATTGCCTTGTCTCCCCTTAATTGCACAGCAGATCCGCTCTTTGCAGTCTTCTAATTGTGTTTGGCAGCAACAGTATTTAGGGCAATGGGTCAGGATGAACCCCTAGTCGATGCCTGTAGTGAACTGTATAGCGTTTAGCTTCTTCGAGAACCGTTGGCATTTCCAGATAGTTGTGTATTTTGGAGTTGCGAGTCAGGGTGCAGCAGTTAATACCCTGAGAATGTTA